TAAAATAATACTAATAATGACAAATAATAACAATGAAATTTCTAAAATAAGAAGGTTATGCGTATTCGGGCATAACACCGGATCAACCGGGACTTTTAATCCGATTTGAAACACTAGATCTGCATAATTTTTTTCCCCGCGATTCCTGTGGTTACAATAAGGGAATAACTTCAACTTTGTCATATTTCGCATAACTCATTTTAGAATTCATATATTTTCTCTTTTATTGATAAAAAATTTCCACAAAATACGACGAATATAAAGTAGCTATCTCTATGGTATTCACGGACTCACGGGCTAAAAAAAAAATTATGCAGATCGTCGATCCAACTAAATCGAGAACAGCTAAAAATTTATCACACTTTGATCATTCGAGATGGTTCTTTACGGTGTGTTACTATGGTACATTTTTTTTGTCATTGACAAATCTTGTGTAAAATTAATGCATAAATTCAATCCTATGTGTATTTCCTTTCAGAAAAGTTAAATTCTTCTTTTGAAATACGCAACATTATTATATCAAAGAAATTTGTTATTATATAAATTATTGCGTGAATCGATAAATTTTTAAACTCATTATGGCACTAATACTCAAGTAGGTTATTATTTCCAAAAGTATTGTATATTTTATTTATCTTCTAATTATTTGAAAATTTTAGTAAAAGACAGTCTGGTTATATCCCGAAACGAATTATAATTATTTCTCTTTGTATTTTGGCTGGTATTATCTGTTATTCTGGTATAGTTCAATTTAAATCTTTATTTTTAAAACTTGTCAAATTTATTTATTGATTAATTAACACTTTCTTTCCTGGAAGATCGTTCAAATATGTCAATTTCTATAGTTTATATGGCCAATGAATTCAATTGGAATCATAATACACAAGGTCTTGTATCATCATCATTTTATTTTGGGTATATTTTGACCCAAATTATAGGTGGTGCGCTTACTGACAAATTTGGTGGTAAAAGAATATTAGGCATAGGTAATTATTATGATATTCTAAGAAGTATACTATTAAAAAAATTTACAATCACATATGTGAGTGCAGCCAAGGGTAAAAGGCCGTTCGGACTTTCAATTATATTTTGTGTAGTTAGCCGTTTATGGCATATTTATCATGATAGATTTTTCATGGACGGCTAACTGTACACAAATATAATTGAAAGTCCGAACGGCCTTTTTCCCTTGGCTGCACTCATATATATTTATATATTTATGTTTATTTATTTTCAAATTATTTATTTTCAGCTTTCGCAACTCGGACACTCTTTACTTTACTTACACCAATCTCTGCCAGAATAAACATTTATTGTCTTATATTATGTAGGATTTGTTTAGGAATTGGTGAAGGACCAGTTTATCCATGTTTTCAATCTTTAATCTCAAAATGGTTTCCACCTGAAGAACAAACTAGAGCTGTTTCAGCAATAAATGTTTCAAATTTTATCGGTATGGCAATCTCAATGCCAATTTCAAATATATTGGGTTCTAGCCAACTTGGCTGGGAAAGTATTTTTTTAGTATTTGCAATTATTGGTTTCATTTGGTCCGTTATTTGGCATTTTTATGGGACAAGTGATCCTAGAGATTATTCTAATATCAGTAAAGAAGAATTAGATTGGATTTTAAAGAGCAAATGGACTGTTTATTCCGATGATAATTTGGGTCATAATCAATCAGGATTTGACGATGATCGTAGCGAAAATGACATGTTATTACCAAATGATCAAATCTCATCAAGACCACATTATGTACACAAGATTCCTTGGAAATTCATACTTTCTCGTCGTGAAGTGTGGGCAATTATTCTTGGTCAACTTTTTAATTCTTGGGGATTTTTTATTCTACTTAACTGGCTACCATTCTTTTATTACGAATATTTCAATACAGATATTAATCTCGTTGGATATTACACTGGTAAAAAATTCTTAATATTATTAATGCACTTTATATTTATCTTATATGTACTTATGATTTTATAAATTTCAAATTTTTTAGCTTTACCTTACTTTTCGTACGCCATAGTAGGTTATATAGGCGGTTGTATCTGTGATTATGCAATTTATCAATTAAAAATTCCTGTTTTAACTGTACGAAGATCTGCTAATATAATTGGATGTCTTGGAATAACAGTAGCTCTTTTATTTGTAAGCGCAAATGAAATTTTTTGTTTCATTTAAGTTATGATTTTTAATGAAATTGACTAATGCTGAAATTCGGGCCTATTATTAAGGATTATATTAAAATTTATGTGTGGATTTAATAGGCTTTATGTGTCCAAATAAATGGCCTAAATTTTAGCATTAGTCAATTTCAGCATCAAAAAACCGAGATATTTATTTTTTTCCATTGATATCATACAGGTAACATATTTGGCCAAAAATTCATTAGAAGCATTATTTATAATGACGATAGGATTTGCATTATATTCATTTATAATTTCGAGTTTACAAGTATCTCAGGTAATTAATTAATTAATTATTTATTTATTTAATTTATTTATATTGTAATTTATTTATTTAATATAAAATCAAACTCTTATCAATCATAGATGGATATTGCACCAAAATACGCGGGTTTAATATTTGCCTTAGGAAATGCTTGTGCGATGGTCCAAGCTTTTTTAGGTGTGGCATTAACAGGTTGGATATTAGGAGCTACTGATAATAATTGGAAAATTGTTTGGTGGTCGTGTTCCTTATCTTATATTTTACAAGCATCAATTTTCGTTAGCTGGGCAGGCGGTGAAGTAATAATTGATTGAAATTATGGAATGTGTGTAATTTTTTAAGTATTACGTAAATACGTATTTAGCTCTAATTTTTTAAGAACATTTACAGTACATGTGAATGCTGCCAAGGAAAAACCTGGAATTGTTAGTTTTCCGAAATTTCATTTCAGAAACATTTTATAAGAATTTCATATGTCTGTTTCTAAAGCGGATTTTCCGAAAATTAAGAATCCCAGGTTTTCCCCTGGTAGCACTCATATGTTGCCTGAAATGGAATAATGAATACATAATAGACTTATAAATTAATGAATCTAGTTTAATTCGTCCGTTCCGTCCGTAAATAAAAATCTTTTGCTCAGTCAATAGGAGCGAACGTCCCAATAATTTTGAAGAACATTACATAATTAATAAAGTTTTTTATACTATTTCGGGCGTAATGTTAAAGATGGTTGCGTTCGAGTTACTTTTTTTGTTGCATTGATTTATATAAATATCAATAATATAATTTATGCAGCATGTACAGTAAACAAATATATTAAACGCACCTGACTTAACGGACCCTATTTCGGGAATCTCGCGTAACCTATGAAAGATAAGTAAACTTGAAGCTTCGTATGTACTACGTACAGTATTTTAATAATATCGGTTGAATCACCTTTGAATCCTACAACTTTTATACTACAAAGAAAAAAAAGCAATTTATAAATTCGATACTAGGCCTTCTAAATTTAATTTAATATATTCAAGTAAAAAATAAAAAAAAACTTATAATTCTAATTTTAATAAAATTTGGATATTTTATAAAAGGCTTAAATGCAGAAGTAAAGATAATAGCTAATATAAAATACTTATTTTTATTATCTAGATATTTGAAAATATAGAAAATTACAAATTATATAGCTAATTTCTATTTAAATTGTCCTAAAATTATCGGTATTAGAAATTAGTTAATAAAACTAATAACAAGTTTAACAAGTTTGTCTCGGTTCATTAATTCACATGCCATCTCATAAGCTACAATTCCACCAAAAGATGA